GGTTTTTTAATTGTCTTACTAAATTTTACTAATTGAATAATCACACTGTTTTACAATACTTACATTGAATTATAAATCATTTCGATTTTAAAAGTTTGTTATGGACAATTATCAATATAGTTCAACAAATAAAATTTCAAAATTTTCATTGTAGTTTGTCTTTTTTTGTTACAAAACAACACAACTTTTTAACCTCTTTTTTCTTCTCCTTTTTTGAAGAGTCAATTAACTCCTTTTTTAAGTTGCCTAAGCATTTGGTTAGCACATTACACAATTACTATTAGTATTATTCATTTAATTTTTACATAACATGATCGCACAAGTAAATTGGAGCGTGACTTATTCCTAGCAAGAGATGCGGATGCTGCTGCTGAAGTACCTTATAAATAAATCATCACTTTCATTTTTTTCTTCTTACTCTTTTTTTCCGAAACTTTTTTTTTTGAAAACTCGTCTTTTGAAAGCATCCAAAGACCGGGTTTAAAACCGATTGCTCTGATACCAAAATGTAACAACCCAACCCGCGTAACCCAAACCAATGAGTTAGCGAACCAGGTTGCTACTAAATTAACTTCAAAAAAAATATTTTCCAAAACAATTTAAAACACTCATCGAAGTATCATAAAAATGGTGTGGAAGCTTTTAAGCACTTAATTCAAAATACAACTTCGGTTCTTGCCCTTAAAACATAATTAATTCAAATGCAACATTAAATAAGTAAATTCGTTCAGCTAGTACCCACCCATCTCTTTTCCCTCGCTGCCATTAGGTCAACTTCCTTTTTCGTCATTCTTGTTACCTACGTGTAGCAAATAGGAAAAAGTGCTACATGCTCAGTACATAAGCTAAGTGAGAAATATCTAACGTTTTAACTGCGCCCATAGATAAATCCACTAGCTCAAAACTATATACAATATCATGCACATAAGTACAACACTAATAGCATAAATAACAATCATTGATGAATTCACACTCACAAATCGTTATCTTAATTCATCTTTATTTTCAACTCATAACATGAATACTAAGCTATTTAAGACCATATTTCCTTATTCACAACCTTATATTTGGACTTAGAGCCACTACCTACGGCCATGACTCAAGTCTACCTTATTCAACACCTTATGATACAACATGACCTCACAAACAAATGAGTTCTTTGCTGCGTTGGTGGTACCCTGTCTCCTTCAAACGACAGTTTGTGGATCCCGTACGTATGTATTAACCCGCAGTCGCCAGATATCATATCCGCATGGATGATTCTACCTATTAACATTTACACTTACAATCTTACCAAAGCACTCCTAGAGTTCCTCTAGATAGCCTACTCTGTTTACAACATCTCTACTCGCTAGACTTATTCCAATAACTATCTCAATTTTCTCTCTAATTCCAAAATGGATTATATTTAATTATAAGAAGGATAAAAATAACCAGATAACCAATCATATAACTCAATTAGCGGCCTAGTTTCAGGTGTAAACACCTTCCACACACCGTCATGCAACATACAAGACATTGAGAACAACCCAGAATTCGAATCGAGATAAATAGACAAGAAAATGACCGAACTGTCTCTTGGTCCGGTAATTGTTACACTACCTCGGTACCACCAGGCAGTACCTTGGTACCGTTGGTTCGGTACCCCCATACCATCCGGGCACAGGTACCGAAAGTAGAACTCCATCTGTGGCAGTACCTAGCTACCGTCTAACATCGGGAAGAAACTGAAACGGGATATTTCGATCCAATTCCAAACCATTCAATACGTATAACATTTGTAAAGATTAATATCTTGCAAATCATACAATTTCGAGTAAGAATACATACTTTGTCGTCCTCGTTCAACCAACTCAACCAATATCATATATTAACAAAAATCATAACTCAAAGTATAAAAAAAACCACGTAATCAATCATACAAAACTACGAACGCGAATTTCAAATCTGTATAGGAAATCTAGCGTTAGATGTCCACGTACTTACCTCAATAGATTGACGAATTACAGGTAACGACGAATTGAAACTAATAAGAGAAAGGCGACGAACAACAACATCAATCACGGTGGTGGTGGAGCAGCGGCGAAAACAACCCTGTTCCCTGCGATCAAAGGGTGACCCTGCTTCCTTTTCTTTTTCTATTTCGGTGATGTGCTCTTTCCTTTTCTCTTTCTCTTGGCTCTCCCTCTCTCTTCCCGTTTCTTTGCGTCAGGTACCGTGTGCGTGTGTATATATAAAATAAAGAGGGGGGAGGTTTGGGTTCTTTCCTTTTTCGGTTTGGGGTAGTCTTAGGTTAGTTTTAGGAAAATTATATTACTCCCTCCGTCCGGGAATGATAGTCCCACTTTGACTTTTCCTCACTTTTAAGAGGAGTGGAAAAAGGCTTTGAAATATCCAATTTACCCTTGCTTTAAAAATAAGGGTTGGGGATAAGAAAGAAGAGAAAGTGGCGGATGGAACATAAAGTAAAAGTCATTATTTGCAATCATTGGGAGAAAGTGGAAAAAGTGTACTTTACAATCCAAAACACCAAAAAAAATTCATATTCCCCCCATTTTTTTTAACTACCCGCCCAAAACTACCCCTAAAACCCATTCAAAATGGGATATTACATCACTTTAAAACCCCCACTTCAGCACTTTCCATTTTTAGCAGCCACATTCTTCAAGCATATTCCCCTTTTAGAAACCAGTCACAGCACCCAAATCTGCCATTCTTCTTCTTCATGCCCTTTTTCAGTTTCTTGTTCTTTTTGCTGTTTTCCTCTCGTCTTCCCGGTGGCCTGCACGTAAACACGTAAATGAGTTTAGACAAAAACTCCAAGAATTTAGAGAACACAACGAGGCAGTTTATTGGTGAAGCACTACTACGTCATTGCAAAGAGAATCCTGATGGTACATTTTCAGCTCAGTATGGGCAAATCAACAAACTCGCTTCAGAGTTTAATGTCTGTCGAAAAACAGTCGGCAAGATATGGGCTATTGCAAAAAAATAGTTAGATGATGGGGTTGCCATCGATGTGAGCAGCAGGATTGCAGGAAACAGTGGCAGGAAGAGGGCTTTCATGGATTTACAAGTAGTTGCAGACACTCCTCTAAGAAAGAGGACCAATCTGAGAGCATTAGCAGCAGCCATTGGGAAGCCTAAGTCCACAGTTCATGAGTGGGTAAAGAGAGGTATGCTTAGGAGCCATTCTAATGCTATCAAACCGTACCTTACAGAAGCTAATAAGATTTCTAGGTTAAGGTTCTGTTTAGATCAGATAGAACCT